TGCTCTGTATTAAGGGGGAAAAACAAGGACTTTTTTCTCACTGTACTGTGTCTAAGTTGGTTTTCTATGATGATCTGTGTCATAGTACTGCAGTGGGCTAGTAAAACAACAAACTTAATGTTGACTTCATCTTGTGGTGGCTTAATGTTGAAGCCATTATATAACTAGAAAGTGCATGAGCATGAGTGATTAGTTTGTTATTTAACACTGCACTCTGCAATATTCCAGCTATATGGTGGTGGTCTGTAAATATTTGTGTCTAAACCAGACAATCCAGTGATCAACAGCAAGAGCATGCATCTAAGCAATTGGATACAGTAACATGTGTCGACCAAATCAGTGAGTCCGACAACCCGATCATATTAGTCGCCTCTTCAGGGCCGGAAATAACTTTAAAATTGCTAGTGTACTCTGGAACAGTGGCACATGTAAAATCACTTGCCCTGATAATTTCCCCACTAACCCGTCCGTTTTCTTGTTGATTTTTTAAAATAAACAACATAAATAACATTGGAAAGTCAACTGGACACCGGTACAGTGTGATATACAAATTTACTTGCCCGACAGAAAAAAACACTGGACTCGGACGTCGGGCAATGGGTTATTTCCATCCCTGCTCTTACAACAAGCATGGGTTGCTGAAGGCCAAACCTAACCTGGCTCTTCAGCAAGGCAGTATTCCATTGAAATCAACATTAAACTGAACTTACTCACTCACTCCACAGGAGATTGTTATCAACACTTCACTCGTCTAGATCTGCATTGTAATTGATGAGAACCCTGGACAAGTATTTACTTTGTGCGTTTACTCCTTGCTCATCACAGCATCCCCCTTATTAAACTTTAACGACAGGTAGTACAGAAATGATTGGACTATATATAGTGCCATTTCCATCATTTTGCCAGCTAATATTGATATGCACACTCCTTTCTTGTCAGACGAACTCGTATGAATATTTGATATGACGGAAATCGATGTAGAAATGCTGTAACATTTTTCCTGTCTCTCTGGTACAGCGATGGACATCAAGTTTCTTCTAACAGATGGATAAATCAAACTGGCTGTATTCATGCATGCAGGTTTTGTTTTAATGTAGTGTGATTGTTTTGGAATATCAGATGTTGACAGCTATGGGTGTGGTCAGTGCTGTGTATCAGTGCTGTGTATCAGTGTACCATCTTCATGGTCTCAGTGTCCTGATCCTGGAAGGTCTCCTCACCAACTTGTAATCTGTAAATAGTCTCTAGAAGCACCTCACCTACGGGAGAGCGGAAGGTTGCGGGTTCGATCCCGACCGCGTCATACCAAAGGACGTTAAAATATGGTACTTGTTGGTCCCTGCCTGGCGCTCGGCATTAATGGGTACAACAAGGACTGGTCGGCTCGGAGTCAGTATAATGTGTCTGAGTGGGGTATTCATGCTTCACTGCGGTATGGTATCTGAGTGGGCTAGCACTATAAATCCAGCTTCTGTCTGGGCTAGTACAAGCAGCACATACACATACACACGCATGCACGCCGCCATATGAGCGAGCCTAAATCTTCTCAAGCACATAAAACCCAATTTCTTCTCAACCTCATACAATACATGACTAGCCTTTCCCAATTGTTATAGTCTCTAGAAGCACCTCACCCACCGTTTTTCATGACAGTCTGCTTTTTGTCATGTATGTTACAGATTTTTAATAGAAATTTAAGTTTCGAAGGATTAGATATTGTTTGTTTTGTTGTTGTTTTACGCCGCTCTCAGCAATATTCCAGCTGTATGGCAATGGTCTGTAAATGATCAAGTCTGGACCAGACAATCCAGTGATCAACATCGTCAGCTTTGATCTGCGCAGCTGAGATATGATGACTTACATCAACCATGTCAGTCAGCCTTATGACCCGATCCCATTAGTCGCCTCTTACGACAAGCATGGGTTACTGAAGATCAATTCTAAACTGAATCGTCACGGGTGATCAGGATTATATAATTGTCAAGTAATCATTACAAAAAAATGTTTCAGTTTCTTCAGTGTTTGAACTAATTAACTCTGTCACTGTCGGTTGATTTCTGGCAGAAAATGTAACTCCTTGTGTATTGTTTTAATAACTACCCAGTTTTTGAATATTCCAAGTACCAAGCTCACTTCTGAGCCGAATATTGTAAACCTTTTTCAACAAAATAGAATGGAGATGTCAGTATATTTGTGTTATAGAGTGCAGAATTAACCCTGGAGGTCAGCTGTCCCAGATCATGTAAATACTGACCTATTTGTTCCTAATTCCACTAAATCCCATAGGATATTTGTAAAATTAGGCAAATTTTGCACTGGTCACTGCTAATTTCTATCCCAACAGAATACTGCTTCCAAATTGAGATTGTCGTTGCATTGTCTTATCTTACGGGTTCATGTCTTGATAATAATAGTAATAAATGGATATTTCTTGTGCGCCATAGTCCATCCAGAGCATGCTCAGAGCGCTACATATAAAAGAGTGACTGGAGTCAAATGGCCAAATGAGACATTGTCAGTTTCCATTGTAATACTACTGCATTCAACAAACAAGGTGTTTTAGATTGGTCTTATTTTTTGATAGTTTCAGGGAAATTTTGTTTCACAATCTATTTACTTATAGTTTGTAGCCACTTAATAGTTGTGATATTGTGCTATGGGACAACTACTTTTTATTTAGAAAACAATAAAACAAGTCCCTATGTGAACAGTTGATTGCGAAAAGCTGATTTGGAATTATTTGGATGATTTTGGTTTCTTTCTTAAATTTTAAACATGACCAGGGAAAAGTGATTTTGAAAACTTTAGATCGAAATTTATCCATGGGCAAGGCTGCACCTAGGGATAGGACAAGAACTAGTGGTGGCTTGGTGTTTGTAAGTATGTGGGGCATCTATGTTAAAGAGTAGCATGGTGTCACAGTTTGCTCTATCAAACTGGCAGAAGTCAAGACTAGTCCATGCGTATACAATAATGCACATGCAAGTATGCACACATGCACGCATGCACACAAAATTTAAGCAAAATTCCAAGGACCCAGAAAATGTAAGTGCTATGGCTCCACCTCACCTCACCTCACCTCAACTCAACTCAACTCAACTCAACTCACCTCACCTCACTCACCTCACCTCACCTCACCTCACCTCAACTCAACTCAACTCAACTCAACTCAACTCACCTCACTCCAAACCCTACCTCACTTATAGTTGGGCTAAATATCAAAGGAGGTCCTGCAAGTCTTGAGATTTTCTGCCTTGGTATATGACTCCAGTAATCACAAAAGTTTTGATTACAGGCTTAATTTCAAACACTAAATTCCAGTATTATAAGTTTCACATAACTTTAAAATTTGCCATTTCAAAGGGAAGAAACAAACCTTTTTATACCTCTTCCTTTTATGTCTGTGCCAAAAACTTTGAGTCCACGAGCCTTCAAATTGTTCTTTACTTTATTTTCAGTAGATTTGATTGTTTTTATATGGAGCACTATTAGTTGAGCTTACATGACTGACAAGATTTTTACTTGACTTGAGCTTCAGGCTAGTGGCTTAAGACACAGACTAAAGTTTTCTTTTAAAAATATTGAAAGGGACATTATGAAAAGTCATCCCTTTCAACACACAATTTGTGCCTGCAGATACATCATTGGAGAGTGGAAAAAGCAAAAATTACCATCACCACGAAATTGCCAAGCGATACAGAAATAGTTTGTGCATAGATATATCAGTGGATCTGATTGTCAGATTCACCAGGATCGTCTTTTGTCAGAACAAGATATCACAACATTGACATGATACATTATTCAAGTGGTGAAGCGAACTGTTTGCGATTCTTTTGAAACATGATGAAAGATCTTTCGTTATCAGCAGTGTAATTGCCCTTGTTGAAATTAAGTTCTAGGGTCCTTAAGCTTTATTCAGATAGTATTTGAATCAAGAACCCCCTAAATCTTTTACTTGCAGTGTAGGAGCAATGACGGAGTGCCTTCACTTTATTGCTTAATGTTTGAGCATTCTTATACATGCCTGATCCAAACACCATGGGCGAATATACACTGTACCTTTTTTGATCCATGATATATATCAAACAGGATACAGCCTTTATTTGCCTTATCACACAAACAGACCGTATGGCCGATTTAAATTACTGTTTTGAACTTGCTCACCTTTTTTAATGTATAAACTTTTGATACTATTATTGCAACATTTTTTAAATATGGAAAGTGCAGATTTTGCTATTAGGTACTGGTGAAGCAGAAAAGAGAGCTATTAACTTTGGCAAATTGACGGCGTAATACCTGTACAGATATCTTCACATCACCTGCTTGGATCGTGCTGTTTAATGTGAAATTAAGACTTCCAATTGCGAAGCCATACGATGAACTTTCAACCATATTGAAACTGCAACAATAACGTCACAACAAAAACGTGAAATATTTTTAAGCACTGAGCACGAGTTCGTATGATTTAACCTTAAAAAATATGATATGATTCTTCTACAATAATTGCACCAGGTTCAGCAATGTGTGTCGCATATTATCCAACTATTTTATAAACTCATTGCCCTCGTTCAACCAAGCGTATAACCATGCAATTCGCACCGCAGAGGTGAGCAGGGAGGAGACAAACGTGACTGGTGTACGCCCACACCCATGAAGCGACTTTGCATGTCTCCTTTCAGGAGATCTACCCCCTGCTGCCAATGTCATTCAACATAACTGAAGCCATTGTCTTGCATTAAGCTACCCTCAATGTCGCTATGGAAAGATGGCAGCGTTTGTAAAAAGCTGTACTCGGTTGCCCTGCCCAGAAGGCAAGAAGCAAGCCTGGTGTCTGTATTGATGGTTGTATGTAAAAGTTGGCCCTCAATCTATAAGCTTAGCATTGATCTGCACTGTCACTCTATACCAGATCATACACTTCAATTGAAAACCTGAATAGCTTTGACTGAATGTTTGCTTTCGCTGGCTATGCATTTCAGGGCATATTCTGAGCGGGGAACATACATGACGCTTGCTTTATGTGTAAGTAAAGTGATTATATCGGCCATGGAAGGACATCAATATCTGACATGACTGTTGGTGTGGCTCGGCTTCTACCTGAAAGGGGTAAAGAATTGTTTTGAGTTAATGGATGCTTTGTTGCCGTGGTAACCATTCATTTAGAACAGGGAGCATGCTTAAACAGGTTTAGAGGCTTAGTGAGTGTTGGAGAGTATAGATGAAACAATCAGGATAGCGTAAGCGAGAAGTGTCCGTGCTGCCCGACTCAGCCATTTCATTTGTAATGAGTGTATTTTATCAATATTTAGTCAGCCCCACAGAGGCAAATAATACAAGATTGTGTGTAGCGCAGAAAGCTTGTCTGTTATGTAACCAGATTGAGGACATTAGTGGAATATGTAACATGTATGAATAGAGTACATTTGGTAGCTTTTGTGTAAAGGATTTGCCCTTTATATTTGCTTATCAACAAAGCTGGATTGAGAAAACAATAGCGGTCGTTGCTGTTGTGGTTGTTGTCTTAGGAGCTAAGGCAGAAGGCTGAAGTATGGGTCTCTACATATTTAATTGCTATGGCAAGATTAAGCTTGGATGGGGCGATCCCATGTGCTGTGGTTGGGCTGTTGTACCCAGAATGTTGCTAGAGTCCTTGGTTTAATCTCTTTATAATTACTGGTCAACAGAGCTATATGAAAGAGCATTGGTCTTCTGTGTTGATCATATGATTGAACACGCAACAATAGCTCTTTCTGCCTCGGGGAGCTTTTTCTTTCATAGCAACCTGTTCGGTGCAACCTCTGTCAAGACCTGTACTGACCAACAACTGCGCATTTCCCAAGATCACTTCTATAACTGTACACACCTTGGGTGGCTCTACTTCCATACGAGGAGTCTAAGTCAAGCATTTAAAAAAATATTGCCTGCGCTAATGTGTCTTCATTGGGGGCAGACGACACACGGACTGCAGAAATGCCTTTGCTCTAGACCCAAGCTCGATGGCAGAAGTGCCTTGTGAACAGTCTTAAGCAGTTCGCCATTGAGGCGGGTTGCCATGTGACTCGAGGTCGATGTAGCGTAGCAGACGATCCCACAAATGAGCGGGCATTGACACATTCCGGAACATCAAAGCAAGGAGAGTATTGGATCATTGCCTCGCAGCTCGGTGGCTGTCCAGTGTCTCACATCTCACCAAGGTAAGCTTGGATATTTGCCTCCATTCTCTTTCAGCGACTAAACCGGTGTACAATGATATATATCGTCTGAAGAATGGGGAGAATAGCTGCTGTCACTGATGCTAATCTGGTCTGTGTTCTTACATGTCTGCATCTGTGGTATCAGTGATTCGTGTTCCTACATAGCAAATGGGCAGATTGTGCAAGAATCTAGGATCTTACGAAACCAAACACATCTATAAATTTACAAGAGTATTTTTTATCTGAAATATGTTTGCTGCTTTCAGCTGATACCTGCATATGTTTCATGTCTGGAATCTTGATTTTAAAAATCCTGATATGTTAAAATATTTATATAAACATAGCAGCATTATCCTATTGGTCAATATCCGATTCAGCAAAGAGCCTAATGTTAAGGCAGTGAAAGCCTCAATTATAATATCAATTGGGCTACCAGCACAATACATCCCTAATCATAATCCACCAATGTTATATTAAAGATATTTCCCCGATACTCCTCCAGTGGTAATTAGCATGGATATTGCTCAACGTTTTCCTTGCATTTACACTGCAGTGATATTCAAGTGTTGAATGTTAATTAGCTGCGGTGAATATGGGTTATGGCGGGCGAGAGGTTACTGCACCAGCAGTTGTTATGGCATATATTAGCCTCCAGGGAAGATCTCATTGGATGAACTCATCCTTCCTTTATATATACCTTCCTTCCTTCCTCCCCCTACTTCAGGGAGGGTAATGACTTTGCCAACGTCGTGCTTGCACTAGGGCACGGGATTTGGCGAAGTTAACTGCCGGCTGCTAAATTATAGTTATTGGGGGAAATTAATGAAATTATGTGTCCTTTTACGCGGGGAAAATGACTGGATGCTTGGCTGTTACTGTACAATGTAATTGTCCGAGATGGGTTTGGTGCTTTCTCGTTCAGCTCCAAGGTTTTCACATTTATTTTAATTAGGGCTTGACCTAGTAATTATAATTGTTCAGAAAAAAAAATCTGTTTCCATGGCAAGCAGTATTTTGAAATGCATTTGCAATGGACTCAGTCTTGCTATGTGAATCAGGTCTTTTCTAGAGTTGAAGGAAAAGTCATATCTCTGAGAAGTACTTTCAGCACAGGCTGTCTGAAATTATTTTGGTGTTGAAAATTTCTGATAGTGAAAACTGTTAAGTCAGTGTTTGTGTTAAAATCAATCAATAATATTTAAGCTATATCTTTGGTTTCTGTATATGTGTCTGGGTTTAACAAACCAGTGGTTGATGGGATGAGAGAAAGAAATAAACTTTTACAGGGTATTATTCACCAAAGGGTATTATAACACATTATCGACCCATTTCTCATTTTAATCTACATTTAAATGCAAAAGGTGCTGAGGAGGTATTTCAACCTGGAATCCCAACATTATGAACTGTAAATTTTTCAAAGTATCTGTGTGTGCATATAATGTTAATTTCTCACTTAATGATTCAACAGAGGAATTTTAGGAGCAAATATGTTAAATCTTACTGAACAAAAGCCAGACTTTGTACAAAAGTAATGACTTACTGAACAGTCATGCATGACAGTAATTGTGTCCCAAACACTTCTTTGTGTCATTCCTATACATTAGTCCTTGGGAAAGTAGCTTCAGTGCCATTAAAAACATAATGTACCTGAGTCATGGAAATACCTCCGAATCACGCTGCGTCCCTTGTTCAATTAAGGCTTTTGAGACGACAGTGTTTTGTGAGAGTAAGAGAGGGAGAACTCTCCTTGCTTGATTGTGACAGGTAAATCCCTCACTCACCTGTCAGACTTCAAAGACATCATGCTCAGGTGAGAAACTGACAACCCCTGGCCTTTGATCTTGACAGTGTATGCCTAGGAACACCTGTATACAGGTAGTAGAGATGTAGTGTAGTGTTGGGGACTGGCAGTGTGAAGACTGTACATCACCGTACACATGTACGTACAGGCTGGCAGTGTGTAGACTGTACATCACCGTACACTTGTACGTACAGGCTGGCAGTGTGTAGACTGTACATCACCGTACACATGTACATACAGGCTGGCAGTGTGTAGACTGTACATCACCGTACACATGTATGTACAGGCTGGCAGTGTGTAGACTGTACATCACTGTACACGCATGTACATACAGGCTGGCAGTGTGTAGACTGTACATCACCGTACACGTGTACATACAGGCTGGCAGTGTGTAGACTGTACATCACTGTACACATGTACATACAGGCTGGCAGTGTGTAGACTGTACATCACTGTACACATGTACATACAGGCTGGCAGTGTGTAGACTGTACATCACTGTACACATGTACATACAGGCTGGCAGTGTGTAGACTGTACATCACTGTACACATGTACATACAGGCTGGCAGTGTGTAGACTGTACATCACTGTACACATGTACGTACAGGCTGGCAGTGTGTAGACTGTACATCACCGTACACATGTACATACAGGCTGGCAGTGTGTAGACTGTACATCACCGTACACATGTACATACAGGCTGGCAGTGTGTAGACTGTACATCACCGTACACATGTACATACAGGCTGGCAGTGTGTAGACTGTACATCACCGTACACATGTACATACAGGCTGGCAGTGTGTAGACTGTACATCACCAGTACACGTGTACATACAGGCTGGCAGTGTGTAGACTGTACATCACCGTACATGTGTACGTACAGGCTGGCAGTGTGTAGACTGTACATCACCGTACATATGTACATACAGGCTGGCAGTGTGTAGACTGTACATCACCGTACACATGTACATACAGGCTGGCAGTGTGTAGACTGTACATCACCGTACACATGTACATACAGGCTGGCAGTGTGTAGACTGTACATCACCGTACACGCGCAGTGCATTACAGGCTAGCAGTGTGTAGACTGTACATCACTGTACACATGTACGCACAGGCTAGCAGTGTGCATAGACTGTACATCACCCATACGTGTACGTACAGGCTGGCAGTGTGTAGACTGTACATCGACTGTACACGTACGTACAGGCTAGCAGTGTGTAGACTGTACATCACCGTGCACACATGTATGTACAGGCTGGCAGTGTGTAGACTGTACATCACCGCATTACACATGTAACGCACAGGCTGGCAGTGTGTAGACTGTACATCACATCACATGATGCATGTACATTACAGGCTAGCAGTGCGTAGACTGTACATCACGCCGTACATGCACAGGCTGGCAGTGTGTAGACTGTACATCACATGTACATGTGCAGGCTAGCAGTGTGTGAACGTGTGGTCTACAGTATTGACATTACATACTGAAGGCTGAATGTCGTGGTCTAGTGTTTGCTTATAGACTTACAGGATAGGATACTTCCACTGTTTGGGGTTGAATGTATGTCTATATTTGTATAGACTTCAGTATAGGTCCACCCGCTGGATTTTACAAGGTTGGGTTGAATGTTGTGGTCTAAGCATTTGCTAGTAGACTTAGGATAGGATACTTCCACATGGACACCTTGGGTTGAATGTTGTGGTCTAGTATTTGCTTATAGACTTCAGGATAGGATACTTCCACTGGACACCTACAAGTACTGGTTGAATGTCGTGGTCTAGTATTTGCTTATAGACTTCAGGATAGGATACTACCACTGGACACCTACTGGGTGGTTGAATGTCAGTGGTCTAGTATTTGCTTATAGCTTCAGGCTTCAGGATAGGATACCACTGGACCCTACACTGGACACCTACAAGCTTATGGGTTGAATGTGAATGTCGTGGTCTAGTATTTGCTTATAGACTTCAGGATAGGATACTACCACTGGACACCTACAAGTACGGGTTGAATGTCGTGGTCTAGTATTTGCTTATAGACTTCAGGATAGGATACTCCACCACTGGACACCTACAAGTACAGGTTGAATGTCGTGGTCTAGTATTTGCTTATAGACTTCAGGATAGGATACTACCACTGGACACCTACAACAAGTACTGGGTTGAATGTCGTGGTCTAGTATTTGCTTATAGACTTCAGGATAGGATACTACCACTGGACACCTACAAGTACAGGTTGAATGTCGTGGTCTAGTATTTGCTTATAGACTTCAGGATAGGATACTACCACTGGACACCTACAAGTACGGGTTGAATGTCGTGGTCTAGTATTTGCTTATAGACTTCAGGATAGGATACTACCACTGGACACCTACAAGTACGGGTTGAATGTCGTGGTCTAGTATTTGCTTATAGACTTCAGGATAGGATACTACCACTGGACACCTACAAGTACGGGTTGAATGTCGTGGTCTAGTATTTGCTTATAGATAGGATACTACCACTGGGATAGGATACTACCACTGGACACCTACTTCAGGAAGATACTACCACCGGGACACCTGAATGTCGTGGTCTAGTATTTGCTTATAGACTTCAGGATAGGATACTACCACTGGACACCTACAAGTACTGGGTTGAATGTCGTGGTCTAGTATTTGCTTATAGACTTCAGGATAGGATACTACCACTGGACACCTACAAGTACGGGTTGAATGTCGTGGTCTAGTATTTGCTTATAGACTTCAGGATAGGATACTACCACTGGACACCTACAAGTACCGGGTTGAATGTCGTGGTCTAGTATTTGCTTATAGACTTCAAGATAGGATACTACCACTGGACACCTACAAGTACGGGTTGAATGTCGTGGTCTAGTATTTGCTTATAGACTTCAAGATAGGATACTACCACTGGACACCTACAAGTACGGGTTGAATGTCGTGGTCTAGTATTTGCTTATAGACTTCAGGATAGGATACTACCACTGGACACCTACAAGTACGGGTTGAATGTCGTCTAGTATTTGCTTATAGACTTCAGGATAGGATACTTCCACTGGACACCTACAAGTACAGGTTGAATGGTCTAGTATTTGCTTATAGGTCTAGATAGGATTTGCTTATAGACTTCTAGTATTTGATAGAGGATAGGATACCACACTGGACACCTACAAGTACTGGTTGAATGTTG